TTATAGCTTATTAGAGCAGGCGATCGCACCATTCCTTTATCATCCATTAAAAAAAAGTAAAGTTTGTTACTAATGATGAACAAATGGATAGATGGACATTTGTTACTCTTTCACGCAAAAACTACTGAACGGATTTTGATGAAACTTTACGGCAATGTAACTTATACATTAGAATAGCATATGGGAGGGGGGAAAGGGGATTGTTCGTCCATGGTCAGGTCGACCTCCACGCGGTTCTCACTGGAAACCATCGTGATAAATTCCTGGTGAATTTGTCACGATGGGCTAACTGACGTGACCTCATGCTCATCTTATCATCCTCCACTGGTGCGCCGCCAGCGTAAACCGTTAGCGCAGCGGTGCACCATTCCATTATCATCCATAAAAAAAATAGCATAAAGGCTACAAATTTCATGCGAATGAAACCGAGGGCACAGCTATTTATTTTAAATGCTAATATTTGTAACGAGAAATACTTGTTACTCTCTTGCGCTAAAACTACTGGTCGAATTCGTATGAAATTTGGAATTCAGGTAGGTCATGTTCTACATTTTCTACCTGTAGGACTTATCTCATAACCAATTTTATAACTGTGTGAACAGAAACTTTATCGCCGTAATTAGACTTTGTCGATGTGTTATTAGTAATGTGGAATAACCTCCTAGCAATGTACCATATTAGATTGACCTCAACGCGGTTCCTCCTGGAAAGCACCGTGGTAAATTCATATTTACCAAGATGGGCTTATAAACCTGACTTCTTGCTCATTTTATCATCCTCCACTGGTACCCTGTCGTAAACCGTTAGCGCAGGCAGGTGCACCATTCCATTATGATCCATAAAAAGAACACAGGCTGGAATAATTTCGGTGCTGACGAATAAAACAGGCTACTCGGGACACTAAAATCTGGGACTATATCGGAGCTAGGGACCGCTTCTTAGTTTGCCACGTGTGTAGCGAAATCAGGCCGAACGTACCCGCCGAATCAAATCAAAAGGTCTTTATTAATGCAGGTCAATTACAAACATTTATAAGATAAATCTACTGATTTTATCCTCACCACCATTTCACCAATATTTTCCCTGATTTTACTGCATTTATATACTACACGTACCGACTTCGCACGGGTAACACATTAGAAATGTTTCAATATCTTGACTTGCTCTATACTATAATACTCATGTATTATACATATAATCCTTCCTTTTGAATCCCTCTATCTATTGCTGAGAACTGCATTAAAATCCGCTGCACAATTTTAATGATATAAACGAACAGACAACGGCGGCGACTTTGTTTTATACTGTAACAGGGGGCCTACTACTAACCTATCGCATTTGCTAACAATATCAATGCTCTCCTAGGTTAAAGCAGATTAATAGAAATAATCTTAATTCAAATAAACTTAATATTAGCACTTTGGAATAGTCGTATTTTCTTGTTCTACCAATCATTCGGATTGCAGATTCATCACAAGAATGAACAAGATACGTGCGTGTTGCTCTTTTAAAAAACATGTTCAGAATTACATTTTTAAGAATTTTGTGTGAATACCAACTGTCATAAATAAATATTTACTTGAGTATTAAGATAAATCAGTCTTAGTTAACAGAGCAGACCAGTATCTACAAGCAACACCCGTTCTAGAGTATAACAGTAATAAATGTGATGAACCGAAACGGAATGGAAACAGCAGCTCTAGAAGTTTCCCCGACAGTTAAGTCACGGGCACAGATCTACCAGCCTCTAATATATGTAAGTTGACGTTTTGATGGGCACTCATTGTCGAACTCCGACCAACATGCAACGCACCTTGTGATGTAACTCCACAGCGGCGTGAGGTCTTAAAGTCTTTAGATTTGACAACTGTATGACTAGAAATTCTTAAATATGAATTATTTATATTTTTATAATACATGAAACCTTAACGCATAAACGGACAGATTTCGCTTCTTATGATTTTTTATAAAGTTCACAAAAGTGATGTTCTGAAATCGTTACATTATCTCTCCTTCGTCCAATTCAAACGGGGATCAAAATTACAACAGCCTGAATCGAGGTCCAAACCCCTAGGTGTTATACGTACTGATATTCAAGAATATAGGCGATAGTTAACAATTTTCATGGATATGAGAATGAATAAGTAACTGCATTTCAATTATAAAAGAAATTTTATGCGTATAGCACACATTAAATTTCTCATATATCTAATTACAAACACATAATCTTCTAACATATAATTCATCAGCGCAACGTAAGTTACCATACTCCTCCGAAACGGATTGACCGATTTTAATGTAATTTTATAGGCATATTCAGTAGGTCTGAGAATCTATATCTATTTTTCTTACCCCTAAGTAATAAGGGTTATCCACCCCTAACATTATTTTTGTTTTTGGACAAGATTCCTATTTTTTTAAATTTATAATATGGCATTAAAAATACATACAAACCTAAATTTTCACCCTTCTACCACCAACCCTTATTTTTTATAGCGATATTAGAACTTTATTTATATGGCAAAACGTTTGCTAGGACCTCTAGTATTAATATATAATGACAGGCAATACTTCTTACCTAGCCTGCAGTGCAAGAGACAAAGCAAATAGTTGGTCAGTAGAAAGAAAAACATTAGCTTCCTTTCGTGTAAGATGAGCACTTGGCTTTAGTTTGCTGACCGTACTTAAAGTTTCGTTAGCTGATATTGTCTGTAACTATAGGGACATAACACTTTCCCTTTCTATTGTTCTCTCATAATCTACTTTGTGGTCTACCATTGCATTATTTATGGCAGGGAAACTTGCACGAAATCGTATTTACGTCGTAGGTAACTAGAATAGCGAACTGGGTTACGGCTCAACTAATAGAATTGCTTATATATATGTACAGCACAAGGGACGTCCAAAAATTAATTATTATTTTAACCCTTCATTTTTTACTATATTTCTTGTTTTAGAAGATTTTTCAAAAATCTTCAAAAGTTTGTCCTCCGGAGAGGCGAGTTGTTACCCATAAGAAAAGCACTTTTTATATCTGCATTGTATTAGTCGCATTACCACTCTACCGCAACAATACCAACGACCATTACTGAAGACGAAGTACAACAAATTGATGCCCTACATAAATTTCACTATCAAGATTTTGTCAATATACCAGCAACATTTTTTGATGAAACAAAATAATATATATAAGATTTTGTTTCGTCAAGGCTGCTGGTGTATTATTGTCATTTATTATCTTTATAGCACTTATAAATGGAATAATAACAAATTACTTGTAGATAACAATGTGAATAAGGGTGGATCTTATCTGTAAGAGTGATCTATTGCAGCCAATATAAAGTGGTTAAATAGGGGTAATTACGATTCATTGTAGTGTTAAAGAGAAATAGGATATATATATAGAAAATTATAGTGAATATAAAAGAGAAATATAGTATTACACACATCTGTCCTATAGGACAGAAACAATATTATATGCAAATAAATATAGGCCCAAGAATAGACCCCTGAGGTACGCCTGAAATTTCTGTTGAATTTGTTGTATGGGTTTATATGATTTTGTCCTTATACTTTAACTTTTGAAGTAAATACAATACATTTGTGGTAACAGCAATATATGCAAGTTATAATTATCTAAGTATTAAGTATTGTACCATAGATCATCTTCTAGCCCAAATTCCTCAAAACTAAAGACAAAGCACAAAATTAACTAACATTTTCTATCTGTAAAGTATCTATTAAAGTAACAGGAGAACTCCAATACTTTATTACTGTTTTTTTCTAAGATTCATTCAGATGTATAGTATAGTACTGTGAAATCAAGTGCTCAATTATCACATTGCCTTGGAAATGTGAATATGGACAATATTTCTTTCAAAGAAGTCACCTTATTACCTGAATCTGAGTGGTAGATTAAAAAACAAAGCGGCAATTAAAATGAAGTTTATATGGAATAGAGTATTTATATTCTTATTTATGAATATCTAAATATATAATATATAAAAATAATGTCTTAAATAACAGTTTTTCCTCATGATTATGGTTAAAATATTTTACATTTCACCACTGATAACTTTCAAAATAACTTTTCTATACTCAATTGTATGGATAAGTTATTTTGGATGTATTGGATTTTTTGGTGTCAGATCACTCAATCCAATTATAACTTACTATTACAATGTTGGTACATATATATGTCATAATAATATAAATTTAAAGCACTACCATAAAACAACAATATTACATTTTAATATTGAATCATGTTGCATTTCAATTGATCTCACTAAATTTCAATTTTATGAGTTGAATTCTATGGAAAAAATCAGAAACATTACCTATATTAAAAAAAATAAGACAAATTTTGTTAGAATTATGATATTTGTTTAAAACAAAATAGGCTGTCAGCAGTTGCCTACATTGTTTTTTCCTTTTCAATCCCAATTTTTCTACAGATGGGTCAGGCAAAGATCAGTTGACCATACAGCCCCACCTATGATACAAGTTTTGTTAAAAATAGTCAGTGGATTAAACATAGTTATTTTACTACACATTAACTAGGCACCTCACAACTTTTAAATACATTTGTTTTAGAGATAGTTATACCTAGGTATATATAAGTATTGAATTCGATAGTTCACTACTAGGTTTAATAATCTATATTGTATTATTTAACAGCATTAAAAATATAACTATTCGTTACACAGTTCACGTTCTGCACGAGGCTTGCGATAGTAGTTTCCAACATACTAAATTCCTACTTATCAAAAGGAAATAAATTTTCTGATCATAACCAATTTACGTTAGAAAACATAACAACTATATAGAATTAAGATATCCACACTGTGATGTTTCTAGAAAAGCCGGTAATTTCGGCGGTGCACAGCTATTAGGCCTACACAACGAATCCGGCACAGAACCGGAGGCCGCGCAACCAAAGTTTTTAATCGAACATTCTAGCTACTATTACTATTTTAAATAACAAAATAAGTATAAATTACCTTATCCACAGGTCTCAATCCACAAACAGCAGGTAAATCCAAAGAATAGACCACTATATTGCACAGAATTTTGAACAACACACTAGCACTGGATGTTTCAAATGATCGTAGATTTATTTACTTTTTAATCATTACCAATTTATAACTGTATGAAGCACAGTGCACAAGTTACAATACACTTCACTTTAAAACTATTAAGAAAAAATTAAACGGTTTTTATTTTCATGTTCTTTTATTGTCCCATCTCAAGTTAGGTGATTTAAACATATTTTTTTAATACATACGTGTTGATTTACTATAAGTTAAGGTATTCCACATAAGGAAATAAAGAAATATGTGTTAAAAAGTAAGATTATTGGCAGCTTCGAATTTCACTTCCGTGTGCATTCCCAAAACAGCTGTTTCCGTATAGTGACGGTGAAAAATCGATAACAACCGAAATAGGACAACCGTAATTGCACACAACATAACTTTTCACAGCACAGATTTTCGGTTTCACTATTCTAAAAATGCATCTCGCATTGCACTAGTGTAAAGTAAAATAATATCATTGGTAAATAACTGTAATTCGGTAAAGAATAACTGAAAATGTGCATAAGGTCACATTTTAGGTTGAAGATCATGAATTTAGCGGTCACCAACACTATTTTGTTTATGATTTAGAATCTTTTGTAAGCACATCATTGAGTTAGAGAACACACGCACGCGGTCGCGCTCGGTCGCGGACTGGCGGCGAGGGCGCGGGGCGCGGGGCGGTGGCGGGGCGGGGGGCGGGGCGCGGGCGGTGCCGAGCGCGGAATGCTATTGTAGGCGAACTTACCCGCCACTTTTTTTCTCAATTCTGGTCAAACAAGTTTTGTATACAACCTGCATTGTAAGAATTCCGCCATTCTTGGAGCGAGCTCGGCAACGGTCTTTCTAAAGTTAGAGGTATAAGGTTTCGTTGAAATTTGGATATTTTTAGTTACACACTATAACGATTACAAAGCCTTTTATTTTTTAGCCATGGAGGTTGCCAAACCGAAATAATTAGCTATTAAAAAAATATATGTACATTCAATTTAGCAATCTTACTAATATTAAAAACACGAAGTTTTGTAAGTATGTATGGATGGATGTTTGTTACTTAGTTACTCTTTCACGCAAAAACTACTGAACGGATTTTAATAAAACTTTTCAGGAATGTAGCTTATACATCAGAATAACACAGGTTATAATATAAAATGATATTACGTAAATTGGGCGAAATATAATAATAAATGTCAAGTAAGTGTGATGCAGACGAAGTTACGCGGGTAAGACAGTCAACAGTAATTGAAAAATGATAAATGAGTTTTATTTTATTTCTATACATTTTTTTTAAATCTGACAACTGCTGCGGATCTAAAGCTATACCTGCTTTGTGAATTATGTCTAGCTTATTATTGATAGTGTGTAGAAAACCGTAGAAAACAAAAAACCGTAAATACGTACTTACGAAGTGATTCTCCACAAGGGGAAAGGATTGTTAGTGATGTGGACTAATGATCCTATCGCTAGCAATGTCAGGTTGACCTCCACGCGGTTCCCCTGGAAACCATCGTGATAGATCCCCGGTTGGGCTAACTGATCTAACTTTATGTTCATCTTATCATTCTCCACTGGTGCCCCGCCAGCGTACACTGTTAGCGCAGGCGTGTGCACCACTCCATTATCATCCTCTAAAAAAAAGTGATTCTACACACTGAGGTATGTACCATTTTGTACTGCTGTAGCCTACACGAAATATTTACCAATATTGTATTGAATTGGTTTAAATAATTTGTATTGTATACTATTAGGTTGTTCGGAAAGTAATTTCGTTTTTTCCTAACTTAGGATTTATTTGTATTTTTTGCACTCAACTTCAATTTTTTCTATATGCTTTGAGAGTTCATATAGCAAGGCTTGTGTGTGAAAAAATACAATTAATTCTAAGTAGTAGTTTTTGGTTGGTGCCCTTTTCAATATGGAGAGCCATAAGCAGCATTTTCAGCATTCATAATAATAATCTCAGGACAATTCACACAGCGCCATCTAGACCCAAGTTAAGCTAGCTAAAGCCTGTGTTATGATACATATACATAGATTTTTTTTCGTAAATACACAAATATTATACATAGAAAACACCTAGACCGATACAAACTATCATACTCATGAATACAAATGTTTGTGCCGTGCGAGGAATCGAACCCGCGACCATCGGTCATAAAGCGGTGTGCTAAACCGCTAGACCACCGAGGTCGTCAAACATTTATCCTAACAACAGAGTAACAAGCATTTATCCTTACAAACTTTGGTATTTAGAAAATAACTTAGCTGCGCCCGCGCATCAAATTTATAGATCATATGTTATATTACTGTAAAGTTTCACCCAAATCTGTTCAGTAGATTTTGCGTGAAAGAGTAATAAATATCTATCGATCCATCTATCCATCATTAATTACAAACCTTCACGTTTATAATATATTTTTTTTAAGGGATGATAATGGAATAGTGCACTCGCCTGCGCTGAGGGTTTACGCTGGCGGGGCACCATTGGAGGATGATAAGATGAGTATGTGGTCAGGTCAGTTAGGTCAGCCCATCGTGACAAATTCACCAAGAATTTATCACGATGGTTTCCAGGGGGAACCGCGTGGAGGTCAACCTGACACGGTACATTATTAGTAATGGCCTATGAGTCCACAATACCTACAATCCCCTTTCCCCTATAACATTAGTAAGATAGGATTCAATTAAAAAAAAACTCTGTGATAAAAAATATTGAATGAACAGGTTGAATTATAAAAACAAATTGACATCAACCCCTATTTTTAAATTGCAAATTTATATGGCAATTTTATATGGCAAAACAACGTTTGCTAACGGGACTAATTAGTAAATAATAAATATAATTAATAAAATACAATCAAATAAATCAATGATGTCTATATATATGTTGGGCCATAAATATGATATGATGTTTGAAAAGCGCATATCTAAACTGAGGAGTCAGTTAGTATTTGGCGCAGCCTGAGTGGAATTCCAACATTCAAGGTTAGAACAGAACTTCTAAAGTATTCGAAGCGATAACAAACTTCCACGAGGTCGGATAGACTCGGCTCGAAAGGGACAATTCCATTTGTTTTACTAGTCTAGAGCGAGATGCCACGATATATTTTATTTATTGCCATATCATGTTACACATCGGCTTGTATCACATGTGTATGAGAGAGACGAATATAGTCACTTTGCTCCTTTGACCCCATCAGATGAGAATATTCATTTTTTTCTTAGATTGGGCTTTTTAATTACCTCTCAATCGTTGCATATGATTGATAATATTTAAGAAGAATAATTTTCTTGGCAGTTTTGGACTAAAACTGTGTACAGATCTAGCAGTTTACTTGTCAAAACTATCTGCTACAGACGAATAGATCATAGAGACTGGACCTATGTGAATCGAAATATTTTTTTGTTCGATTCATTTGATCGATTGAAATAAATAAAATAAGAACTAACCTATCATAAGAATCTTGTATTCATATATGTACTTATATATAGGAATATTATTGATTTTAATTAATAATGGAAGGATGCTAGAGACTAATAGAGTATAGAGACTAGACTTATGAGAATCAAAGTATTTTCTTCAGATTCATTTGATCGATTGAAAAAAATAAAATAAAAACTAACCTATCATAAGAATCTTGTATTCATATATGTACTTATATATAGGAATATTATTGATTTTAATTAATAATGGAAGGATGCTACAGACTAATAGAGTATAGAGACTAGACTTATGAGAATCAAAGTATTTTCTTCAGATTCATTTGATCGATTGAAAAAAGTAAATTAAGAACTAACCTACCATAAAAGTCTTGTATTAATATATGTATATATAGAAATATTATTGATTCTAATTAATAATGTAAGGATGCTGCAGACTAATAGAGTATAGAGACTAGACTTATGAGAATCAAAGTATTTTCTTCAGATTCATTTGATCGATTGAAAAAAGTAAAATAAGAACTAATCTATCATAAAAGTCTTGTATTAATAAATATATAGGAGTATTATTATGTTTAATTAATAATGGAAGGAATATATTTAACTAACTAGCTGTGCCCGCGACTTCGTCCGCGTGGATACTAACTTTGAATAGCATTTTTAATTATTTAGGCTATTTTATAAATAAGACATGCCTGACATCGTTCTAGCTTCAAATATGACGAATTTCTGTACAAACTTTCAATGGCTATTTCATCTTACCCACGTAAGGGTAAAATTTTTACAAAGTTTAAATATTATATTTATTTATATTTAATCAACAGCCTGAATAATAAGTTTCAAGCTTCTAGCTTAAAAATTACGATACAACCTTTCAACCCTTTCAACCCTTTACAACTTTATTCGCATTAAAAATACGTCTTTCTCAGGGTCTTGACTATCTGTGTAGCAAATTTCATTTAAATTGATTCATTTCTGTATGAAATGAACCAATTTAATAAATTAAATTGAATCTTTCAACCCTTTACAACCCTTTTTAAAAAGTAGCCTAGCACCTTTCTCAGATTATCTGTGTAGCTAATTTAATTTAAATCGGTTCTGTAGTGTTAGCTTGAAAGCACGACAGATAGACAGATAGAGTTACTATTGTATTTATAATATTAGTTAGTAAGGTTTTAGGAAACGTATCAAGTAAAATAAATATTCTGTTACGAATCATCGGTGTTCTGTGACGAATCACTAGCAACCAATATTTTAGAAGGCTAAGAAGTTTTGCTCTTAGTCATCATTACATAAAATAAATCATCATTACATAGTATAAAACAAAGTCGCTGTCGCTGTCACTGTCTGTCCCTATATATGATTAAATCTTTAAAACAACGCAACGGATTTTGATCCGTTTTTTTTTATTAGATAGTGTGATTCAAAATGATGGTTTATATATATAATACATATGTATTATATATATAACACCCGTGTGAAGCCGGGGTGGGTAGCTAGAAAAGTATAAAATAAAGTCGCTGTCGCTGTCGCTGTCTGTCCCTATATGTATGCTTATATCTTTAAAACTACGCAACGGATTTTGAAGTGTTTTTTTTTAATAGATAGAGTGATTTTAGAGGAAGGTTTATATATAAATATATCTATATATAATACATGTACACCCATGCGAAGCCAGGGCGAGTAGCTAGTTTTATATAAATTAGTGGTTATCACTTATTATCATCCTATTATAACAGAGTAACTGGTGTTATCGAAACCCTATGTACTATGGACTTGATGACCTCGGTGGTCTAGCGGTTTAGCACATCGATTTACTTCCGATGGTCGCTGGTTCGAGCACACACAAACATTTGTATTCAGGACTATGATTGTTTGTATCGGTCTGGATGTTTTCTATGTATATTATGTAAGTATTTATAAAAAAAATGTATTTAATACCCATTTTTATGGAGGTGTTTGGGTTATTGTCAGGTGCTTGGACCTGTAGCACTGCGACCTACATAGATCTATTTTGCTCGCTCTTTTTTTTAAGTTAGAGACCCGTTAGAGACAAGAATTGAAGGATATTCTTAAAAGTGATGGTTTTTATATATTTAGTACCCATAACACAAGCTTGGGACTAGATGGCGCTGCATGAATTGTTCAAAGTTATTGTTATTGTCGAAATTCAGAATGTCCACATTTCTTTGGGTAATT